AAGCGTGTACAGTATGAGCCAATCAGTGGCAGTAATGACAGAGCATGCGCTGTTACGCAAAATCCGCGATAGAGTGAAGCCGCGGAAGTCGAAGCGCGAAATGGCGAGGGTTCACTGTATATGTGCCATGTATTTATATGTACATATATGTAGGTGAAATAGCTATGCTATTTACCAGCGATTAAAGGAAGCTCCCTTTTTCTTTATTATCTTCGGATTTACCATATCCAGATACACTCATACACATCTTCCTCAATCTGTTTCACATCCAATATTTTTTTCAGCATGCATTTAAAAAGTAAACAAATAAATGCTGACTGAAAGTATTGGTAATGTACAGTTCACACTGCATGGACACATAGAACACATACTTTCCCTCAGCAATCCTGTGTTTAATTACCAGTAATTTTATTTCTCTTAAAAAACGATTTTTCCTTCACCAGCCTCCTTTTTGGCCCGATAACTACAGCAACACTGCGTTTAGCTCCAGTAGGGCAGGAAGAAAGATGGAGCTTGGAAAAAGTAGAAGACCAGCTGAAACATCAGACTAGGTCTCTGTATTACTTTTAATAACGCAAAGGACAATTTTTTATAACACTGTAAATGAGCAGGGTTTGTGAGCCAGGCTCTGTATTTTAGATTTTCCAACAACCCCGTATAGTGGGTATTATCATCTGCTTTTTACAGATAAAGATTCTGGAAGGTAAATTGACTTCCCAAGGCCACCAGACTAGCCAAAGGCTAAAGCTAAGGCTCTTGCATTCCCACCGACCCAGAACCCTCTTTAAAACAAACCCGCTCACTGACAGCGCCGTCCTAGGAAATTGTCCTCTTCAACTTCAGAGGGCCAACCCTCTCACTGTGCGCATGCTCAAGGCTTAAAAAAAACACAAACCAAACGATCAAGACAAGAGCGAATGCGCATGTTCTACAAACCAAGTTTGGGGAGTGGGTGGGGTGGTGGGGGCGTGCATGTGCATTTCTTCTTATTCAGAAAGGTTAATCACGCATGTTCAATTTCAATTGATCAATTTCAGATTTGGCACGCACGCTCGCTGTCCGTCAGAGAGCTGGAGCCCACAGTGCGCATGACCTCGCCTCCGCGCCGGGCTCGTCCGGCTCCTGTTCTGCGCAGGTTTGTGCCGGTGCCTAACCCTGGGCGCTGGTTCTGCGCATGTCCGTTGCCCACTCTCGGGCTTCACGGGCCGCTGTACGCATGCGCTGGCGCTGCGCTGGAAGAGCCAGTCCGGGGCCTGGGCGCAGTCGCACTGAGCCGAAGCAGCCGGTTATGGCGGCGGCGGCGGCGGTGGTTGCGGCGGGTCCGGGCCCATGAGGCGACGACGGAGGCGGGACGGCTTTGACTCAGCGCCGGACGTCCGAGACCGGGAAGCTGAGGACATGGCTGGAGTGTTTGACATCGACCTGGACCAGCCAGAGGACGCGGGCTCTGAGGAGGAGCTGGAGGAGGGGGTGAGGCCCAGGTCCCGGGGGGCTGGAGGTGACAGGGCTGGGGCGGCGGCCAGGGCCCAGGAAGCCGGGCGTGTCCGAGAGCGTGGAGACCTAGAGGGGCGCGAGTAGTCTCCAGGAGGGGCTGGGGCGCCCCGCGCAGCCGGGGGCCGGGGGCCGGGCGCGGCAGACCTGCCCGTAGGGACGAGGTCGCTGCGGGGTTCGCAGGTGCAGGTCGCGCCCCCCAACCGCAGAGGAGCGCAGCCCCGAGCCATCTGTTTGTGGAGGGAAGGAGGGAAGACGCGTGATCAATTCCTGGAGATGCTGGATTGCGTGGACGGGCGGGGGGAGGGGGGACGGTGGTGTGAGCGCGTGTTGGGGGCGGGAGGCTGCGCTTGGTAGGTGCCCCCGCAAGTGCAGGTGAAGTGCGCCAGGGTTTCCCTTCGAGTGTAAAATTTCAAGTT